TTTCCTTTTTCAGCTTTTAGTTGCTGAGCATAGTCCTTGATTCATGGCCCCTCTCTCCAACTTCAAAGTCTATAACTGTACATCTCTTTTCTATCAGTTCTACCTTCCCTACCGTCATCCTCTGCCTGGATCTTTAAGTCTCAAGGACCCCTTTGATTCTGTGAGCATGGCTGAGGCCCTCTAGGACAGCATCTCCATGTTAAAATCTTTGCCTGCATCACAGTTTCAGAGACCCTTGCCAGGCCAGGGACTATAGTTCGAAGTTTCTGAGATTAAGACGGGGGAGGATATAGCATGCCTTTTCGGTGTGTGACCGCTTCAGCATACCCTCTGAGTTGGCTCTGAAAAGGCACATTTGCCTCAGTCCTGGGGGAGATGATGAGGCAAGGACAGAAGACCCTATCAGTTGCAATGAAACACAAGAAGAAACCAAGTGAGGGAAGGGGAGAGGAAAGAAGGAAGGGAAGAAAACAACCTTTTCTTTCAGCACCCATTATGTGAAAATTTTCTCCTTGAGGGGAAACTTTTGGAATAATCATTTTAGCATTTATTTTCTTCTGTAAAACCTTAGTCTCATTTGGATGCAGAACTAAGGAGGTATGCCTGCCCTGGTGTCAGGCAAGTTTGTGATGGTCTGACTCATTCAGGTCCCAGAGTAGTCTAATACTAGGTTCATTTGTGAGCCTTCAATCTTACCTTGATTGCGACCCTTTCCCGGCTTTCCTGATCCTGGTAGACTCGTCCATACCTCGGATTGTGCTCTGCAGTGTTCTTCATTGTGCTGTGCTCACATCCTGGAGAGACATGCGCTCTTTCAGCGTGGCATCCTTTGGACATTTTTGTTCCTCTCCTCCAAGCTGCTTGTTCTTCTATAGTGTCTCAGTTTGGGCTCACCTGTTTACACTATGAATTCTATTTGGTGGACACACTGTCTGCAGGCATGACCAATAACTTTCACACTTAAAGATCTATATTAAAATTAGGATCAGGATCAAGGTTCTCATACCTGACAAGCAGCTGTTATGAGTTTCCCTCCCCTGCTTTATGTCTATACTTCATTTACCTCAGTGCGGATTTACCAAAGGGACAGGTAGTTTTGTCTGATGTCAAGAACGGGAAGGGAGTGCAAAGTTGCGGTGTGTTCATTTATAAAAAGAACAAAGTCAACTTCTTCTTCAAAATGACAGTACTTGTCGACCAGAGTCACCTTTCTAAGGCTGCTTTTGCAGAGTAAATCCTTTCACCACAGCTCTGGAGAGCTGGCAGGCTGACAAGGCTCACAGATTGGTGACAGAACTGGCCTGGAAAGACCATGCTTGCTTACTTTGTGAGACCGGAAGGGCTTGCCTCTTCAACCAAGCCTCTTCATAGAGGTGAGATGGGAGCATGAATCTGGAGGGACATGCGTACTGTTGTCTTCCTTCTCAAGTCCCCAATCCATTACTAATTATTATGAAATAGTTCTTAGATTCAAGGAATGGGCAATAAAATGTAATGGTATGCAATCTTAAAAAAATTGAAAATAGTGTCTGAAGAGGTGACTCAGTGGTTAAGAGCACTTGATACTCGTCCAGAGGACCTAGGTTTGCTTCCCAGCACCCACGTGGTGTCTCACATACACATGTAACTCTAGCTTCAGGGGCTCTGATACCTTCTGTTGACTGCTGAGGAAGTCGGGCATGCTCATGATGACACATACATTTATGAAGGCAAAATATGAAGGCAAAATAAAATATTTTAATAGCGCACTATAAATTGAAAATATAAAGGAGCTGTAAGATGTACAGTAAGGCATCATTCATCAGAACGTTATCAAATGGTCCTATTTTGGCTACGTTTCACGTTGGTAGTAGCTATTACAGAGTGGCTTACTAGTAAAAAAATGCATGAACAGATGCAAGGAGATGTGAGTATTTTCTTAAAAAAATACCTGAATAATATGAATTTGGGTACTTTTTTTAAAAAATATGTTGCTGTATATCTTGATACTTTCTGGTAAGATTTGCTTTAAATTTATTTTGAAATGTTCTGTATTTCTACCTTGATACATTATGTTGTTAAGGTTTTGCTATATTTTTTCATTTTCAGGAGGGATGTTTCTGTAGTTTTCTGTTTTGCTTAGACTACACACCCTTCTCCATAATGAAAACTAGCCACCAACTGTGTGCAAAAGAGTAAAAAAAGATTCCAGCAGCAAGACACTATGATCCAAAACCTGGCACTGGGCTTACAAAGGCAATCTGATTTAGCAATTAGCTGATAAGACAAAGCAATAGCTTGTCATCCGAGCTAGAATTTAGACTGTCCTTGGTCACCATCCTCCCTTGAGGAGTCTGCAGTGTCTCTAACTCCCAGTGCTTCTTCCATTAAGATGATCCTTGTATACTGTGACACAGCCTTGACCATGTTCACAGAAGGTTACATTGGCCTTATGAAGTAACACACTGCCTGGCAAAAGACTATTCTTCACAGTCCCTCAACATGCATTCCCTAAATCTAAGGTCATGCATGATTATGAAGAACCTGTCATTTTTTGTGCCAGCAACATTAGCTGTGGGCCAAAGTATCTATCTTAGACGGTTCTTGTATTATACTGCCCTTAGTGAGAAATATTAGTGCTTGAATTAAGGGTGGCTTTATGTGTGGTGGTTTCAGGGGGGTGGGGAATGAACTTGGGCTTTGAAGATCACCATCTTCAGGTCTGAGCAACTCATGCTCTCTTTTGCTACCTTGAGTTCTTTGTATAATTATAGTTGAAATTCCTTGGGTTCCAAAACATTTGTTCCAACTTTATGACTCACTGGAAATGTTGCCATTGCTAAACTCTGTTCTGTTTCCAGCAGAATCTATCTGATGATGTAGCTATACAGTGCCACCAAGCCTCTGGGAGGAAACACAAGGTGTTCATAATGGAAAAGGAGTAACTCATCAAAGAGAGCCCTGGTTCAGTGACCGTAATGAGCTGTGGATTTTTCTAGTCATCTGCTGCCTTTCTGATGACAACAGGACACCTTTTTTTTTTTTTTTTTTTCTAAACAGGGGGCCTTTCAGGCCACAGTGGAAGTGTGCTATTAACTCATATGTTCTTTATTTCTCTACCTGACTTAATTGCTTCTGCTGTGATCCCTTTTCCAGGGAAATGAAGCCTGCCACCCCCAAGGTCTGCCAGATGAGGGCCCTGCTTTGAAAGCTTTGAATCAACTTATTTAGAAAGTGCAGCAACTGGAAATCATGACGCCTTTGGTGTCCTGAACTTGTTGAGCTCAACTAAAGGTACAAAGGTTGGCTTAAGTCAAATGGAATCTTAGAATAAAGTGTGACAATTCCACATGTAGCATTTTAAATCTAGGTTAGAAGGAAAAGTCTGTTCGCTTGTTTTTTTTGTTTTTCAGATCAATTACAGCATGCTGAATGTACCTGATAATTTAAGACTGAATGTCAGAATAGCACTAGGAGTAAATTTCTAATATTCTCATCACACAAATAAAATAGTAGGAGTTTGGGGTGCTAGATATGTTAACTATCTTAATTTGATCATTTTACACGGCACTGCAAAACCATAGCACCATTTTGTATGTGCTAAGTAATACTGGCCAAAATTTACGAATATATAATGATGAAAATAAATACCGGGTCATTTCAGTTGAAATGCCAGTGTTCCCGTGGAGGCATAATTTAATAGTTGCTGCTACAGGTCCGTATTAACTATATGATGCCCTTGTAGAACCTATGTGAGATTAATACCAATCCAGTGGCGATGCCCTGGAATGTAGGATTCAGAGAGCTTGCTCTGATGGTTAGCTGAGAGTTGAGACACCAGGAAGACAGGAACAGGCTTTTGCTATTGGCCTCCTTCCTGCTTAGGAGAGAAGTGACTGACATGAAGACCTCTGACTTGCCTTCCAGAGTCATTGTGCAGTGAGGACTGTCCTGCTGTCCTGCCAGTGTCATGCCAGGGCAGGAGTGTCCTGTTAACTCTGATAGAAGAGAGGATGGCCAAAGCTGCAGCTGCAGAGACCATGCACATTGGTATTGGAAAAGGAAGGACTATTTTTTTTTTTTTTTTGAATCGTCCTCAAATTACTGGACATGAGAAAGTTGAGAAAACAGACCCTTATTACCACGAGGGGAAATTATTCTGGTCAGCTGATTCTCTACATAGCCTAGTGTTCAGTGGAGCCTTCTCGAACATTTCCTCCCTGCTAAGCAACTACGCACACAGATGCACCCGTGTTGATGCTGTATAACTCTCCCTACTTTTTTCTGAAGGGCGTTTAGGACAGAGTTAGACTCTGATGCTCCCAAGGTACCCAGGTTAGTGCTCCTTTCTCAGGGCGGGAATGCGGGCCATCTGTTTGTTCGTGGCAGTGCCGTGCAGTTTGGTCTGAGCAGATTAAGACATTTTCCTGTCAAAGTGAGTTCTGAAACTGTTCTTGCATCGCTGCAGCACCAGCAGCTCTCAGTACAGAGACCAGACATGTGTTCTACTATTATTTTATTTCCTGGTCCGACTGTGATGGGAACTTCAAAGATAATCATGATTCTTTTGTATTGGGCCTCTTTTCTTTCTGGCACAGCAGCATGTGGAGTCTATGTACACACTTGGGGTCAGAGCAGCACCGGAGTTCTCTAAGGTGGCTCTTCTTCCTTGATTTCCAGAAGACTGAGATATTTTTAAAGTGTTTGCAACCTCTATTTTTAAGTACACTTTCACAGGGGATTGGAAATCTAGGGGCAAAGTTAATGACTTCATGGTCCCTCTTAAGGACACAGCTTCTGCGCTGGAGGCCAGCAGAGGGCACACCATGCATGCGCAGCCCTCTCTCTCTCTCTCTCTCTCTCTCTCTCTCTCTCTCTCTCTCTCACACACACACACACACACAAAGAAAAAGAGAAAAAGAGAAACAGAGAGAGAGGGGGCGCACACAGTAAAAGGAGTTTTTAAGAAAAGTTGCACATAGTGTAATTTTAATCCATTCCATTTTTAAATACCACAATAAATTTAATTTTCACAATAAATTAAATAGCCATATTCAGTTTACAAAATAGAATTACTTAGTGTGAAACTGATATTTACAACATTTACAGTATGTACAGGACATTTCTCTGTGTTGACATAGACACGGAAGGAAAAGGACTTGACTCTCCAGCACGCGATTGACATGCTACAAATGACACCATGGTCCATACAAGGAAACAATAGTGCAAAATCACCACAGGAACTTTGGAACAACGTCAATTTTATGAGATAAGACATTCTTTTAAATAACAAAAAAAAAGCATATTCTTGTTTTTATGGCACCAATCCGGTATCTGTGTTAAAGAGCCAGCTTCACTGTAGGACAACCAAACAAGAAACAAAAACCAAGAAAACAAAACAAAACCCGAAAAACCCAGAAAACTGAATCCTCTACTTCCTGATGCTTCGTAGCCATTGGTACATTTTCACACATTCATCTTTTGGCTTAAATCTATGAAAATGGCGGGTGACAAGTTCTGAATCCAAGGAAGACTAACTCGAGATCATCTGAAGTCACTTTCCCCCAGTCCCACCACCTCTACTCTTCTTTTGTAAATAGCTTCAAAGGTGCAGCTCTGCAGGCAGCAATTTAGTGTTCACTCTTTTGTAAATTTTCAGTAGAAAAAGAATTGATCTTGCATTTGGTCACACACCGCATATGTACAAGTATTCATGGAGAAAGGAACTGGGTAGCTGAGTATGGGAAAGTGCGTATTTTAATCTAGAGGAGACGCCACATATCTCCAGGGGACAACACACGGTGTTGTGTGATGGATTGTTCTAGGGCCAGTTCAATGTCCTCCCGGTGATCTGGTAAAATTTTTGATTAAAGGGATGAAAGAACTTGCGCAATTTGGTAACAACGGAGGGGTCTACCTCTGGATGGATGCGCCCCTTGCTGCCCGCCAGGCACTTATTAAAGATAATGTTAAATCGCAAACAGTAAAACCCTCTGGTAGCGTTGAAATATAAATTGTACTGACTTATCCTCGGAGGAAGGTTCAAGAACTTCTCCACGAGCTGCAGTTCCGGCAGAGGCTCGGTGATGAGACGGTCTCCATCCACGACGTGGAACTGTTCAATCGGAAAGTACTTCAGCCAGCGCTCCAGATGTTTCGTGTAGATGCTGGTCCTAACCGCCTTATATTTCGTGTTCACCTCGCAGGTATTAGGGTCTATGGCTAGCTTCTCGAACTTATAGTAGGTTTTGTTCTTCCTCTCTTTCCCCTCTAGCACCTGAGTGTAATCAGAAATCGCTCGTGTGGTCGGCTCCCTGACAATGATCAACAGCTTGATGGATGAGTTCATTTTGTAAATCCTTTCCGGAACCTCTTCTGTGATGAAATAGGCCGGGCTCTTTTCAATTGTGATTTGCTGAGGGTAGGAAAAAGGCATTTTTTTCCTGTACCACTCAATGCCCTTGGCATAGTTCTCATCGTTGTCAAAGAAGTGGATCTCTTGAGAAGCTTTGACCACGGCAGGATGGAGGTTCAACATCTCTAGCAGGGCCCTAGTGCCCCCTTTCCGTACCCCAATGATGATGGCTTTGGGGAGCTGCTGGACCAGGTCATGGAGGCGAACCTGCTCCTTGGAAGAGTTGCCCTTGCGGAACTCATGCAGAAGACCTCTCTTAAACTGCATGGCCCGCAGTGGGAACTCAGCCTGACTGTGGGCGCCACCCAATCGGTTTTCAACAGGGCAAATGGGCTGGAGCCTGCAAGCCAAAGAGAGATACTGTTAGAAACTGATTCCCACTTAACTTCTCATTGTTCTGCATCTGTGCCCAGACTGAGATTCTACATGCATAAATAAAGCCACTGGGTCCCAGGCTGCTGCGATCCATTATGAACATATGTTTAGGAAATTTTATGTTAAGCAACTCTGTGTTCAGTGGAGCACACATAATTGATGGGATTTTTTTATTAGTGCTCCTTAAAAATTTTATTCACCAAGCACTTAATTGACTACGGCGTGTACTTATGCTCACAGTACAAGATAGACAAGTGACACCAGCCATACTAATAGCTTTTTAACAGCTCACCAGTTAAAAATCATTCAGAAATTGGGAAGGCAGAAGATTATAATCTTCAGCTAAGACGCTGAAGGGCAAAGAGGGGGGCCATTTATTTCAGGCGTCGTGTGGAATTGTTTCTTTCTTTTGTTCTTCTCCTTTGGCAGCCTAGCGCCATTCACATGGCCCCTTAGCATCCTTGAGATACAGTTGGAGAGGGGGCTCCGATCCCTGTGATTGGCTTTTTGCATCACCATTGTGCAGAACTCCAGTCTTTCATTCTGTGAGAATTTCTGCCCCTCATCCTTGGGGATAGGCAGAGGAGGGCTCTACTTCTGACTCTCTTCCCATGTCTATCTAAAAAGGTCAAGTTTCTGCATCCATCTTGATGATTGTACAAACAATCCCAAGCATCACTGTTCTGTGTATGATCCACCACTCCTGCAACCAGAAATCTGAAAGAAAGACTTTGATGGGTCCAGAAATCCCAAATTTTCATCCCAAGCAATTTAATTCAGGAACTAGAGTTTATAAGATAAGGAATGCAATGGATAGAACCAGGAATGATAAACAACTCTATATTTTTCTGAGAAAAATGTAGTAATAGCCACAATAACAATAGAACAAAATGACTACTTTAGCATGACCTCTACATATGGTTAGAAAATTGTGTGTACTTTTATATATAATCTGATGATAAGTTGAAATTCACTCTAATTAAAAGTCAACTAGGTTGATTTAGGAAGTCATTTTAGGCTTATTGGTCAAAGGGGATAATACTAATCAAAATGGCTATTAAATTATTTCTTCTAGATGAAGTTTTCTAATGACTGCAGTAACTTGGAGTCTCTCTCCTTCTCTATGGCAATGAAGCTGTCTCTTGCTTTCCCAAGAGGTCCCATTGCATCTTTAAGCCATGTTAAACCAATTGTGTGTAACTTAGGGGAATGGTGTTGTGTTTGCTCTGTTTATCTAGGCCTATATCATAATCTTTAAGAAAAATAAAAATGTGTTAGTTTTTTCTAATATTTATTCTATGATTCTTGAAACAACTCACATTCATTTCAGAAAGTTGAAAACAAGCAATGGAAATCCATTGTGAAAAGAGGGCTCATCACTGATTTGGCTAGGGTTCCTTTCACTGTGATAAAATACCTATGGCCAAGGCCAGTCTTAGGGAGGAAAGGATTTATTTCAGCTTTCATTCCCATACCACAGTCCATCATGGAAGGAAATCAGGGTGGGAACCCAAGACAGGAACATGGTGGCAGAAACTAAGGCAAAAGCCCTGGAGGAAAGCAACTTACTGGCTTGTTTAGTCTGCTTTTCTTAGGATGAACTGCTCAAGGGTGGCACTGTCCATAATGTACTGGGCCCTCCACATCAATCAAAAACTACACTACAGGCTTGTTTACAGGCCAATCTGATGGAGCTATTTTCTCAGTAGAGAGCCCCTTTTCCCAATTGAGTTAATCTTGTATCATTGAAAAAAAAAATCAAACGAACCAGGACAACAGTTGATGTTTTAGGAAAATGTGAATTTATAAATTCATTGGAATTGTTATTCTAGGGTTCTAATTGAATGCTACAAAGTTGTCAACAGATACATGGTTAAAAGTGTTTTTTTATTGTAGCACCTTTGAGGATAGTATAAATTAGCCTTTTTGTCCTTCTTGGGCTCTATCTATAAAGCTGGCACTATTTCTCTGAGATATTCACTGACAGACATGTCTCCTAGGTATGTAGAATGATGCTAGTAATGTTTCTGTGAACACTGAAGCAATCATCTCTCAAATATTATTCTGTAAGATTTAATTCTCTTGTTCAACCCTGGGTGAAAATGTTGACAAGGACATCTCCAGGAGTAACTAAGCAGGACTGGAACTCCTTCTATCTGGAAAGGGCCGCCTTCTTTCTGAACTTGCCTCTTCTTTCTGCTTCCTACCCTGGAAGATCAAACCCTATAAAGACAGTTGCTTTATGGAAGCCCCCAGTAAAAAGAACAGGTAAAGATAGGAGAAAATATCTCACTCCCCTGCTTCTTGAAGAGCAGTTCTAAGGCTGCCAGACCCAAAGCAGAATTTAATACTGGAAGAGACACAAGGGAAGTAACTCAGGCTTTTTCCCAGAAAGCAGTCTCCAGTTACTAATAAGGGTAAAGCCTGAAGAAGCACGTGACATTTTCAGACAAAATGTATTTAAAATCTTAAGCAATGTACTGTGGGAAAGGCCACCAGATGATGGAATTTCTTACACAAGCCATCCCACTAAAGAGTTGAGAGGAAAACCACTACTAGCCGATTGATAAATGTGTTCATAGCTATAACACCAATTACTCAATAAAATGTCAATGATCGGCAACTAATGATGTTGGGAAGACTTCATATTGAAGTTCTGTTATAGACATAGGTCAGATGTTGTTGTCTCAAGGCTTTTCACTATTAAATGGCACGTCAAGAATAAACACTGGAATGCCAGCACCGAGTGATAAGCTCGCAGTTAGATCTGCCACAATTACAAAGTAGAAGGAATTTTTGATGGGAAAGCATCAAAAGGGGGTTAATGCTTATCAGTTAAGCTGGACACTGGCTGAAGGAAAGTAAGGACCATTGTTGTATTGCTTCACAACACTGGAACGACAGGATATTGAGAAGAAAACAGAACTGTTTCCATTTAAAAATGTGGATGTGTTTTTTTGTTGATTTTGGGAACCGAATGGGACAAAGAATCCAGTCTTTCACTACAAGAATTAATTCAAAGGGGGAGGGGAGGATAGCAGCTTCTTTATTTCAGAAACTAAGCTCTCAATATTTCCCTGTCACCCTGGCTGTAGAACCCTTAAGGAACATCTCAGGGACACACAACTGTCATGGTGGGGACTCCAGCAGGCCCGGCACCTCTCAACAGTTTGCCTATTAAGAGCCAACCCCTAACGCTGTAATTTCCTCTCTATGGATTTTCCAATGCCTTCTGGGAAATCATTCTGTGTGACAGCATCCTTGTTGGGTACCCGAACGCCAGAGTTAATTAACATAGTTAAAAAATCCATGCCCGTAGCCATCCTTCCAGGGCAGGGGACTGCAAGCTTGATGAGCTTCTTTACTGGTGCATACATAATTGTCCACTCATAAATTTCAAAATGAAGAGACATAGTCCGATCACCACTGTGCCGTCATGGCTGACGGTCAGCACCAGGCACACACAGGCCATACTGGGTTCTAGTCAGTGATGGTATCATTTATTTATTTGTTATGTGCCTATCTTTATGACTTCTCTAAGCATGAGTGTTAGTGCTCCCAGAATACAGATTAATTTGAATGAAGCATCTTGGTTTGAGCTGTGTGGAACTTGTACCTTTAAGGTCTTAATGAATCAAAATCAACAGCACAGAAAAGTGTTTTTTCTTGGAAGTCTTGAGGGACAAAAAAAAAATGGATTAACTCAAAGTTATAGCCCAAGGAAGCTCACATCAGGAGATACAGAAGGTTGCATGAGTAGAAAGCATGTATTTAACCACCTACCTATCCAAGCTCCCAACTCTGGCAACTAGATACAGCAGGCTCCCAACAGCAAGGCTTCCCAGCACCAGGAGCTTCTGTCTCAGCCACACCTGCTGTTTGAAGAGCATGGCCCTCCATCAACCTTCAGGACTGCCACAGCCTGAAAGCAGAGAGAAGGTGCATGTCAGCGGTTGTCAAAATGGAGACCAGCGATTAAGCAACAAAGAGATAGCACACCAACATCGGCAGGTTTCATGGTGTAGCTGATTTTCACAAAACTTACCTTTCTTTCTTTCTGTTTTTAAAACCTAGCCTGTTCTGTAAGATCAACTATCAATTCTGTGGGGATTACACAGAATTTGTTCTGTCTTCAAAAATTTCTTAAGCACATAAAAATTCAAACATACATACATACTTGCATTCATATCTAGACAGACAGACAGAATACTGAGAAAATGAACAACCCGAGGCTTTATCAGTAAGGCAACAAACTGGAAAACTGCAGTTAAAATAAGGGAATGAATGCTGAAATTCCCGTTTAGTAAATGGTCACTTGGGACTTAACGGTAGCATCCTTGTCTTAGACCTTTTTGCTCTGCTTCGCTGGTGAATGGAACAAAAGGGTCTGATTCAAAAGTGACAGTTTCCTGAGGTTAGCAGAGGTGAGTATCCAGCCTGCCTATGCTTGAAGTCTCCAAGGAGTTTTCTGCTGGCCTTCATGTCTCCTCCCAGTCCAGGAATCTGGAAACACATTTTGACTAGTGGTCCTACTGTGTGGCCTCTCCAGGCTCCCAGGGAAACTGAACAGGTTGGGTTTTATCAGACTTACTTTTACCTCACTAGAAAGTTTATCTGGAAGCTTTGTTCTCTCGTACATGAGAAGTGTAGTGTAAGGCTTTACTTGTGCCGTTATTATATTCTGGAGAAAAAAAATATAAGCTCCAAATTCAGACTTCTTATTGAAAATAAATCCAATCTCCTTTCAAGATGAGATTGTTTGGTTCTTATTGAAACTGAAAATAGTAATCTGAGAAGACAGAAATGGAGCGCTGGCTGGAAAAGATCTCACTGCAAAGGTATCTCCACGTGTGTTATGTGGAGATTCCTGCCGTGCAAAAGGGGAATGCTGGCTTGTCAGGATGACCTAGACTCATTTATCAAGAAACTGCTGAGCGCCAATAGCATTCTCCACTATTAGAGTAGGTACACAGAGATTTCAAAAATGTTCCAAAAGAGTTTCAGCCTTTGGGCAACTGGCCACGTGATTAGAAAGTCATGGAACAACCAGAGAACACAACCCATGTCTCAATGTGTGGATATATGTTGGTAAAAGACACCGTGGGCTCCATAAAACTTCAGTTTTTATTTGCTAGGGAAACTGTAGGAAGTCATCCATAGAGAGGTCATAGGAACAGATAAAGGAGCTTGCTCATGTGCTCGGCTCTGTGCTGGGTGCTACAGAGAATCACGAACAATTAGACAGACACAGTCCTTGCCCACTTGGGATCTACACTCCAGTGTGAAAGTCAGATGGTAAGTCAACAAACCTATATGGGATTAAAAGATACTTACAAATTATATGAAACGTCACAAAGGAAAATTATAGGAGAAAAGAAGTCGCAGGGAGTTTCTGGTCTCCCTGGAGGAGGGAGTGTTGGGTAACACACTGGGGAGGATAGATACTAAGGAGGCAGGAGGCAAGGTGGGGTAACAGGGGGCAGAAGAACCACTATGCCTGAGAGCTGGGGCAGGAAATGCTTGGCTCTCATGATAAGTGAAAGCAGGTGGGGCAGCAGTATAGAAAAGAATGTAAAAGGGGTTTACTGAAGTCTACTCTGGTAAGCACACGGTCGAGATGCTATTTCAGGAAACCCCAGGCTTAAATGCAAATACTGTTGCAGGATACACACAGCAAGGCAAGAACCAGGTCCAGCGTAGAATCCCCGGACCTTTCTTTCCTTAGCCACAGATGTGGCGGCTTGTGACCCCTCCACATGCTGTGGCTTGAATGGGTAATGACCCCCACAGGCGCCAGCATCGAGTGCTTGGTCCTCAGCTGGTGGCGCTGTTTGGGAGGATTATGAAACAGTTAGGGGGTGGAGCCTTACCGGAGGAAATATGTCACCTGGCCTTGAGATTTTTATGGTCTGGCCCCACTTCCCGTGTTGCCGTGGTTTCCCCCACCTTGATGCTCTCTATCCCTCTGAAACCGTAAGCCAAAGTAAAACCCCCTTTCCGCTAAGTTGCTTTTGGGCGCCTGACTTTTATTACAGCAACAGAAAAGGAATGAATGCCCTGTGCTGTGCTGCTGCAGGGAGAAGGAAGGGAGTTCTCTAAGTAGCGAGGCTCCTCAAAGGCTTATGGGCTTTCCTGACTAAAGGATTACACATCCTTTCCGCTTTAGTGTGAATGAATTACATGCGCGCGTGTTCACAGACAAACAGGGTGAGCTGAGGGGAAAATTCTCAGAGCTTCAGTGGGAGTCGACAGCTTTCCGCAGAGGACCAAGCGAACAGGCCTAAGAAACAGTTTGGCTCTCAGAGGTATTTATCCAGGGTGCCCACACCATCCTGCTCAAAAGTGTGGCACAGTGCTTTATCTACTGTCGCAGCTCCTCACTCCACCTGTCTGTCTTCAATGCCTCGCCACCTAAGCGCTAAAATTCAGGGTTCATTCTGCATCCTCCATGAAGAATTCTCCAGGGGAGGCTCCTGCCCGTGGTCCAGCTTCCTCCGAGCACTAGAACCACACACTGATTCACTGCTCTAAAACCTGATGGAATTTATAAGTATGGGAAAGCTAACTGAAAGGATTTGAGCCTTATTCAGTTTGTTTTGCTGTCTAGGCCAAAGAATCTCTCTAGGAGCTTGGCAGAGACACTTTAGGAATCACAGGTTCTCCCTCTTAGAGGTGCAAGGCTGATGGTTCTGCTCTAAGCCTGCGTTTGCAATTGCAGGTGAGAAAACCACTTCATTGAATGTTGCTTTCCACTACCATGTATGTCTGACCACCCTAGCCGGAGAATTTCTTCATGCCTTCTTCTGTCCAGGCACTCGGCCATCCTCCCATGCCTATGTGTGTGTGTGTTTAAATAACACATAGGTATGTTCTCTATACTCTTATTCTATGGGACTGTAGAGCCTAGTTAATCTTCCTAATATAAGCTGTTTTGTCCCTGACCTGTTTGGGAGCTGTTTACTGGATCAAGTCCAGTAGGCCAGGCCTTTCTTCCAAGGCTTAGTGTGATGGCCAGCATCTTTCCCTTCCATGAGTTGCCTACACTCGCCTCTGTGCCCGCTTGGCTATCTCCTTTCTGCTCTCCATCCCTTTTAGCTTTGATGCTCCTGTTAGTGTCCTCACTGGCAGAGAACGTCTTTCCTATGTCTCTTAGCATTTCCAGGTCCCACTGATTCTTTTCAGGAGGGTTCATCAAGGAGTAAACATCCCACCGCACTTCCCGCCAGCTGGTAGGAATGGATCTGGTCCATTGTACTGAAAATTAGAGGGCCAAAGGGGCATATCTAGGCCTGGGAATAGAGCTTGGAAAGTGTTTGCTCGTGTGGGTAAGCAAAGTTCTGAAGTGACCTTTTGGTTGGACGCTGCTTAAGAATGGCAAGTGAGGATAAGAAGAAAAAGGGAGGGAACATAAAGGCTGCTGAGGTCCAGGACTCAGGGACTAGAACCTTTACCAATTTCCTGTAGAAATGTTTGTTCAAGCCTGTATTGCCTTGGACTGTTAAGCCTGACGAACTCTGAGGTTATTTTTTCTATGACCCCTGAGAATCTTTCAATCTCACCGTGACCCCCAAGCACCTCAACTATAGACTCTGACCTCTGGACAAGCCCACATGTTCTCATGTAGGTTTTTCTCTGTGGGATGTGCTGGTACGTCCAATATACATGCAGTTCAGGTTCCCTGTGTGCAAGATGCCTTAAATGTGTCTGCTAGGATTTGCTCTAGCTTCCTGTTTGAAGAGCTGGCATAGTCCTCAGACGGATTCCTCTTACGCTCTATCTGGCCCATCACCCCATTCAAGCACCTTCAGGTCTGCTGCGGTGGGGAGGGTGTCTGCATGTGAGATCTCAGCTGCCATGGGAGCTGCCAGTGACACACAGCAGACACCACAGTCTCAGTGCCAGGAGCCTGTTCTAGTTTAGTTTTATCATGGGAACCTTCTGAAATTTGTTTTCCTCACCTGTAGAGTGAAGACAATAGTGCCTGTCTCATTGGATTAGCGTGACATGGACCCCGGGAGAGAACTTTGAAAGTATCATAGCACGTTACAGAACTGAACCTTAATTAATATCTCGAGGAGGCAAATTAATTAGTTCTTGCATTTTGAAAAGGAAAATGATAGAATAGATGTAGTTCTCATAAGTAGTATAATTGGATTGTGGAAAACATAGGGTCATTTTAAGCATAAATAACTTTTAATGGGATCGCCTATTAAATATTCAAATACCAACACTGGAGTTTCTGTTCATGTAAGATGGTGGGCATGGACATGTGCTCATGTACATACAGCCAAGGCTTGTCTTGATGAGCTAAACCCTCCGGGAACTTTTGAGGGATGGAGAGGTCTCGCCAGTATGTCCCAGTGACAGTCTTTAGGAGAAAGACAGTGACATTTTCTTCTATTTTATAGACAGTGACAGGGATGATGTGAGAGAAGTCCTAGAATAAATTTTTTCTGAAGAAAATGTAAGATATTGACTGAGAGTCAGGATGCCCATTTTGTTTTTCTATAGTATCAAGAAGTGTTTAAGAGCCTTTAAAAGTTGGGGTCTCAAACACTAGGAGTTGTCCCTCTTAGTCTGAGAATACAACAAAATGGTATAGACTTGATCTTTATGGGCAGATGGAGAGCTGATGCTATTTCAGTCATAGTTTACCAGAGCAGCTGTGATAATTGGTTTTGGTTGTCAACTTGAGTGGATCTGATTTTAACTAAGGCAAGACTCTGGGTGATGGTTGAGGCCATTTCCTGGAAGGGTTGATAGCTGGGGAAGGAAGATTTCCCCTTGACAGATGGCAGCACCTTTTGCCAGCAATCCAGACAGAAAGGGGTCTGAGGGAGATGCAGTGCTGTTTTTGCCTGCCTGCCTTCACTCCTGATGGTGAATGCATCTACACCGCTACTGCTTTTGCTACCTTCGCTA